CTTTCCATAGAACAACTGTGTCAACTCTTGAAACTGTGCCTGCAGTCAACCTACTTCACATATGGGGAGCAATATTATAGGCAGAAACATGGGTGTGCTATGGGGTCTCCAGTTTCTCCTATTGTTGCCAACCTGTACATGGAGGAGGTAGAAAAGAGAGCCTTGATGTCCTTTTCAGGGACACCACGAAGTCATTGGTTCAGGTATGTTGACGACACCTGGGTTAAAATTAAATCTCAGGAAGTCCAACATTTTACTGACCACATCAACTCTGTGGATAAATACATCAAGTTCACACGAGAAGATGTAAAAAATGGCAGGTTGGCTTTCTTGGACTGTGAGGTCTCAGTCTCTGATAGAGGACATTTGCAAACCAAGGTGTACCGCAAACCCACCCACACAGACCAGTATTTGCAGTTTGACTCCCATCACCCTTTGGAGCACAAGTTAGGAGTCATCAGGACTCTGTACCACAGAGCAGACAGCGTCCCCACTAACTCAGGAGCCAGCCAGAAGGAGAAATCCCACACAAGACAGGCTCTAGAGCAATGTGGATATCCTAACTGGGCCTTCATGAAAGAAGAAACCCAAACAGGACTCCAGTCAGCCATCAGGTGAAAAAGAGGAACCCAGACCCAGACCAGTGGTCATTCCATATGTTGAGGGAGTATCAGAGAAACTGAGACGTTTATTTTCTAAACATAATGTCCCACTGCCTTTTAAACCCCAAGATACATTAAAGACTGGTTCATCCCAAAGATCCAGTCCCCCGGCACAAACAGAGTAATATTGTGTATGTTGTTCAGTGTTAGGAGGGTGATCAGTCTTACATTGAGGAAACTAAGCAGCCACTGGCCAAAAGGATGGACCAGCACAGAAGATCAACAACATCAAGCCAGGACTCTGAGGTCTACACTCATCTCCAGGCCAGCGGTCACTCTTTCAGGGATGGAGATCTTCACATCCTGGTAGAGAGGAACGATGGTTTGAGAGAGGAGTAAAGGAGGCCATCTTTGTAAAAATAAATCGTCCATCATTAAACAGGGGTGGAGCCTCCGTGTTCAACTGTCCCCCTCTTACAATGCTGTGATTGCTAGTATCACTCAGCCTGTAAGGGTCCCACTGCCTGCAGCCTGCCTTGCTGATGGCCGCTGATTACCAACACTTGGCAGCCATCAGCCTGATGAGCCTCTCCATCTACTTAAGGTTGCAGTCCGGTGTGACTCAACGCTGGAGCATATCACCTCTTATGGTATAGTACTGTTGTGAGGCAAATGTCTTGGTGAAAAGAATTTGTTCACCTTTTGCTCTTTTTTCCAGTTTCCTGGTTCCTCGTGCTTTTTGGATTCCCTCGTGACCTGATCTGGATCCCTTGGCCTGTCAGGTATTCCTCGTGCCTCTTTGCCTCCAGTTGCCAGCCTTCCTCGT